TTGTATGTAACTGTCTTTTTTTTTTTTTTTGGTCTTGCTTCTTTTAAAATATTTTCTTTATCCTACATTTTCCCTGTTTAGTTATAATATGTCTCAGTGTGGATCTGCTTTTGTTGATTTTGTTGGAGGTTCTCTGTGCCTCATGGACCTGGATATCTGTTTTCTCCTCAATTTTCAGCTATTATTTCTTCAAATATATTTTCTGCCCCCTTTTCTCTATCTTTTTCTTCTTAGATCCCTATAATTTGAATGTTATTATGTTTGATGAAATCTCTGAGTTTGGCAAGTTTATCCTCATTTTGCATAATTATTTTTTCTCTCTTTTGTTCAGCTTCATTACTTTCCATTACTGTCTTCTTGGTCTTTAATTCATTCCTCTTCTTCTTTCAGCCTGCTGTCCGTACTATCTAATGTGTTTCTCATTTTGTTTATTGAATCCTTTATCTCTACTATATAATTTTTTTTTCTTTGTGGTAAGGGTTTCACTGATGCCTTCCACTCCTTTCTTCATCCAGTGAGCATCTTTATAATCATTGCTTTCAATTCTCTATTGGGCATATACTTACATCTGTTTTTGTAGATCTCAGACTGTGGCCTTGTCCTATTATTTCACATGGTAAAAATTCCTCTGTCTTCTCATTTTTGTCTAAGTCTCAGTTCCTGTTTCTATGAATTAGGAAAATCAACTATATCTGTTCTTGAAGGCAATGGATTTATGCAGAAGGGTTCCCATATTCAGTGTAGTGTCCTTCATTCCCCAGGGCCAGGTGTCTCAGAGTGTGGACTCTGCTGATTTATCCTGGTTGCTTTATCTTTGAGGCCAGTAGTCTGCAGAAGCTTTATTTGCCTGTTGTGTGCAGAGTTTGGTCACTGAACTGAATATGGTGAGTTTTAAGAAGGTGTGCTGTGGTCTGCCTGTAAAATAATACCTGCTGCCTCCACCTCTGTAACCATGTCCCTGCAAAATTCCCAGGAATTCTGGGGGAAGGGTTACACCACTCTTTACTTACACAAGCATGACTGGGAAGAGAAGGGTGGTTCCACTGGAGTGAAGGGGATCTAGTCTTGGTGTAAGCAAGTTAAATAGCAAGCTTTGTAGTCTTGCTGATTTCTGCATGTGACCCTGTGCTTATGCTCAAGGGAGAGAAAGGGAAAGCTGCCTCCCAGTTCCTTCATTACCAGAGGGGTCTCTCTGTGAATACTACCTCTTTGGTACATACACTGAAATAAGTAAATAACCTCCCCACTGTGTGCCCCAGGTTCTTTTCAGATTGCAGTTTTCATGTTGTATCTTCACAGCCTGTTTGCCCTGCTTTCTCTCCAAGAGCAGTCCAAATGTTCTTTATGTTATCTTGGAGTCAAGCCCACCAACCTTTAAAATTGAAATCTTTAAGCACACCTGGTTGCCAGAAGTCATGAATTCATTCCCTCTTGCTTTCCAAGCCAATTACTATGGGGATTGCTTTTCCCCATGCACCACCCTTGGGTTAGTCTCTCTCTCATCTTTCTCTATCACCATGGCTGCATCCCCACTGCAGGGACTACAATCTATTTCTCTACCAAACTGCATTTCCGTACTTCTTACCTTCTTCGATATGGCCTCTTCTCTACCTTTAGTTGTGGACTTTTTTCTGGCAGTCTTCAGGTCAATTTCTGAGGTATTTAAGATGATTTGATACTTATCTAGTTGTATTTGTAGGAAGAGGTGAGCCTAGGGTCCTCCTACTTGGCCACCATCTTCCCCTTTTTTTTTCTACTTTAATATATTTTACATTTCAAAATTACACTACCAAGAAAATATTTATAAATTGTCTTGACCTGTATCTCTAATTTGAATGAGCTTAAACATCTTTTTCTTTTTAAAGTAGATCTACATGAGTCAAATGTCCACCCCTTTTATGTATAAAGGCAGAGGCATAGAATGCAGCTTTTGAGTTTATTTGATATTTGATCTTTCCTCTGTAAATAAGACAAAGCCTTGATACAGATGATACAATTGTGAACAAATTACCCATATCATTAATACCATGAGACACTAGCCAGATAGAAATGACTTTGGTGAGGACATTGTCTTAAAAGTCAAGAAACCTGGGTTTAAGTCCAAGATTTATCATTAATTCACTATGAAACATGAATCCAGTCCTTCTCTCTTACATTATTCATCCTTAAAATTAGAGCTTAGACTAAATCATCACTCATATTTCATTAGGTTCTGATATAGTGTTCTTATCTGACCAATTTGGAGTAGAATTTAACAATGTTCCTTTGGGGATATTAATTTGATTCTAATTGGGCTAAAGTTCCTTGAGCTAAATAGGAATGATAAGTACTGTCTAGGTCAGGAAATTTTACTACCAGGTATTTTATGTCATAATACATGAGGATTGGCTCCTATGAGTTCTATTTGGGACAGCCAGCTGAAACCACAAAACTGATATGTCCATGCCTAAACCTTACTTGGTGGAAGCAGACAGGAAGAAAATGAAGATAATAAAAGGTGAGCCTATACAAAACAGCAAAATTTATGGGCTTTTAGAAATCTGAAAATATATCTTTCTGTTCTGTGCTTATTGAAGTCCTGGTATTCTTAATTGGCCCAGCCCAATCTCTCATTCTCCTGGAAGTATTGCCTGACTTGTACCCTGAAATTCCATTCCTTATCCAAGCCTTCCCCCACCCCCCCATCCCTGACTTCTGTAAAATCTTGCAGTAGTAGATATGACATTTTTAGGTCCTTATGACATGTATGTTGCCTTATATTTGAGGCATCTACATAATGTCTTATCTGCTTAACCACATTCTGAAACATTGTCCTTTTGTTTACCATCAGCTCTCTCCTACTCTTTTCTCTTCATTCTTTCTTCTTCAGTTATATTTGATCTACTGGCCTTCATTTGGCAGTTACTCGGTAGATGTTAGCTGAATGAAGTTAAGTCAGAGTGAAGGTAGAAAGCACCAAAATAAACTCATGACACAGGAAAAAGAAAATAGGAAATTTTTCTTTAAATAAGCAAATAAAACATTAATGCCCTATTCTGCCAGACTGTGAAGTACAGAATAAGAAGATACAACAGGGACAATGAATTGTGATCTGTTGTCAATATATCTGACTTAATGCAAAGATAGATTAATTTGACTCTTTCTCCTATATTTACTACAATTGCTGAGAACTATTCTCACCATAGCTAGCTTAGTGCAAAATCATTAAATATTGTTTTTGTAATTCAGTTTTATATCCTGGAATCTTTTCATTTTTCTTTTATATCCTGCTCCCACCATCTATTCTCATCTTTCTAATTCTAATAAATTCATTCACACCAAAGTTTTCAAATAAGTATATTTCTAAGTGTCAGGATTTGAAGATCAAGACTCAGGAAGAAGGAAATGCTTGCCTCCAAAGGACTTGTGTTTCAGACATTAGTAAAGAAAATATTTTGAGGCAAAGAGTTCTACAGATGCTTCCTATAATATACTATGAATGTATGTCCTGGCATGAGACTGGACCTGCATTAATATACTCTTTCTTCCATGGTCTATATGAAATGTTCCCTTGCTCTGGTCTAAAATAATACTTAAGTCTTGGAGATTGCCTTCAGTTGTCCCTTGTTCATCTCTCAGGGATCCTGCTGATGAGGAAGCATAAGGCTGGCTGAGGACAAAGCAAAAGCTGGCACCTTGCACCCCCTCTCCATGCGCTCCCCTCAGTAATATGTGTGACATTCCTCAGGCACCCCTGGCTGCCCTAAAAGAAAAACAAATAGTTAACTTGCAGAGATCACAATCCAGCAAGACAGGAGTCCCCCTCAGTTTACAAATGTCCTAGTGATTTACAACAAGTCAGCTATCTTATCAATAGCTCAATTTCCAGAAACGAACAACTCAGTTCCTCAAGCCCTAATGTCGCCCTACCCTCTATAAACAAAACTGAAGGAGGCTGAGGTAGAAGGAAATGTAAATAAAGTTAAATTTCTTCTAAACCTAAATCTCACTAACAAGGACACTTGATAGCAGGAATGTGACATTCCACCAGGAAACTCCCAATTGTCTTCATGCTAGTGCCACATTAAAGGGAAAAACGGCCTTGGCTTGATAGTAACCAGGCCTTCAGTATCCTGACAGTCTCTTTACCCTGATAGCCCTTCTGAACACCCACTTTGTCCTCACCTACCCAACTCCTGTGTATATAATCAGCCACTCCTCACATCCCCAGAGCAGCAGCTCTTCCTGCCCACGGGTCCTGTCCCCATGCTTTAATAAACCACCATTTTGCACCAAAGATGTCTCAAGAATTCTTTCTTGGTCATTGGCTCTGGACCTCACCCCACAGAACCTCACCTATGTTCTAGAACTTCATCACTGCTGCCGGTGGTGATATGTTAGGTGTCTAATACAGTGTGGTGCTGGGTTCTAGAGCTCTGGCTACTTGGAACCCCATCTTCAATAGGCTGTGGCTAAGGGTCTGGGCTGCAGGAAATCATGCTCTTTTTACCCAATTATCCCTAACTACTGAGAGGAAATGGGAGTTTACTTGCACTTCCTGGCCCAGGACCCTGGGAGGAATGGGGAGTGGGTGAACAGGAAGTGGGAGGTTAGTTAGGTATCTTCAAGTTTTTCTTAAAGAGTAGAGTATTTATTTTAATTTTGGGCTTAAAGGTCTACACATCTAAGAATACCCTAGGCAGAGGTTATTCCCTCTTTGAACTCTCCTACTAGGAGCTACCTAAGGGCAACTTTAGGTAAGGAGTATCTACCTTGGTACCTCAACACTACATATATGAGGGTCTAAGAGAAAAGATCACAGTGAAGATTGCAGTGGCCTACTCTCTGTGAATGGGGTCAGAGGGTAGATAACCTCTGCAAAAGGCTCCATAAACAAATAGGCCACCTATTGTCACAAACTCAAAGCTTAGTGCAACCACAAGATTAGAAGACAATGAACAATGAATGGTGGTCCTATAAATAGAAACAAGGGTTTCTTTGCTAAGTGTGAAGTTTAGCAGGCTTTATGTACAGCCCATAGCATAGTTCTGCATCATTAATCAGAGAGAGAGAGAGACCGAGCACCAGCGAGCTTGCTAGCTCAAGCTACCTCCTGGAAAACGGAAATGTTCAGTGTGCACAGAGGCTTGCATATTTCACTCTGACATCTCACTACCATGTTTTCCAACATGGTAGTGGTTAGGTAATGCTGAGAGTTTTTTTTTTTTTCCTTTTGCTACCTTCATTTTTGTTTTGGCTTTTTAAAATTTTGTTTTCTTTTTATTCTTCTCGCCCCTCCTTCTGTACCTCCCTCCCTCCCCCCTTTTCTTTTCTTTCTCTTAATTTTTTTCCTTCTTTTCTCTCTTTTGTCTTTCTTTTAGTCTTTATTTCCTTTTTTTTTTTTTTGGTAGTGAGAAAGGATTAGATTGTCTTTTTCTCAGAACAGGGAGCTGGAATTTATGCATATATCAGTAGCATCCTTGTTGGAGTGGTTGTCACTTGAATTCTTTGGAGATCTCTGGAGAAAACAAAGAAACTGAGACGGTAAGCTCTTTTTTTAATGAATATTTAGATCTTATCTGAGTCTTTTACTGTTAATATCTAGAACTGGTCTCTTCGTACCAGATTCTGAATAACCTGTCAGTTCTAAGGGTGGTATGGATATCATAAAACTGGACCATCCTAGTATGTCATTTTCTTAGTATTTTTATGAACAACAACAACAACTATATATATATATATATATACATACAGTTGGCCACTTGATGTGGAGGGGGAGTAACTTAGAATGGGAAGAAATGTAAGTTTGACATGGAGAGATTTTTCCTAATATGTTTCACTCAGTTGATATTGAATAAAATATACCCATGAACATTTGTAAATTAACCAACTTTGTATTAAGTAGATTCACTTGCAGAATGTGCAGAATATTTTTTATCTACTCTTTGTTACCACTTTTTGGAGGTGATATTTTTATCTACTAAATGATTAAAATAGTAAGGTTTCTGTTAGTTTCAAAATGAGCTTGTGATTAAAAAACAAGAGCTATAATGTCTCAGGACCTTTACTAATTTGAATGTATGTTCTTATCAGCTTGTATAAGTTACATATTTTTACTAAAAATGTGAACTGTAGTTAAGTGTAGAGATTCTGCTTTCAAAGAATGCTCTGCAGAACAACAATGACAACAAAACACAATTATAATGAGAGAAAAGAAATAAGAAGACAAGATATATAGTTGATCTGTTTTTCATAGATGTGCTGTATCTATCAGAAAAATCAGTACATTAAAAGAAACAACAATGAGCTAAATGATTTTAGGTTAAATTTACGTCTTTAGATACACATAATTAACTTATTTTGACAAAATGTAAGTAAATATATTTTGTATTTAGTAGTTTCCTGGTTTGCATTTGTTTTCCTCTTTTGTGCTCAAGTAGAAATATTGAGGAAGGTGCCTTCTAACTTTAAACCAAATGATGGGGTTATCAGTAGCATGGAACTGTTAGGAGATGAATTCAGAGATTATGAAAAAAGAAAGGGTAATTTAAAAAAAAAAAGGAAAGGATGGATTTCCAACATGATCCAGGATGAAATCTCAAATGAGTTTCCTGCTCCTTTCTCTGCTCTTAACAATGGTGTGCATGGACTTTATATTAGTTTTTCATTATTTTTTCCATGGTCTTCATTTTATATTGCTTGGATCTTTTTAGCAAAGAAAAAAGGTATAATTTTATTCAACCAGAGTTACATTTGTTAGAAAGCTTTGTATCATTCAGCAAGAAGTATTTCTTTCCTTCAGCTGCTGTAAATATCAGGTATTGTGGCAAAGGTATTAATTTTATAGATGGGATTCAAGTTTTTCAGCTGAAGGAAAGATTCCACCAGCCACACTAGCAAATACCTGGATCACAAAATCCATCCTTCAAGAAGTTTGTGTTGGAGGGTTTTTTTTTTAATTATAGAAAATATTCTTTGCACTTTTAAACACTTGTACTGATCTATTTTGCTATATGTTTTCAGCATTATTTCTGTGAGACAGGAATCATCTAATATACCTATTCTGTTTGGGCTGGTACAATATGGTACTGAATATTGTAAAGGTGAATAAATACAAATGGGACATTGACTCCTCCAAAAAATTCACTGAGTTTTCACCTAGAGACCCTTAAGAATGAATGAACTCAATTTTCCCCCTTTGCACTAGGTGACTGAAATGAATAGGAGAAAGAAGCATGCTTTCTGCAATCCTCTCATGGACAGTTTCAGCATTAATCAGATACTCAGAGTAAGAAAGGGAATTTAACTCTTTCTTCTGAACCCTATCTAATTCTGAAAGAGGGGACCACAGATAGTGCTGTTTCCCTTGCCCTTTAAAGTGACCTCCCAAAAGCCTTTTTCTTATGTCATAGGTCTAGAGAATCAGTCTGTAGACACTGAGACAAAGAAAATGGTCAGAAACAGATTCAAATCCTTTCATTGATGGGAGAAATGGAAAACATCTAAGATTATGTTATGCTTGAAAAATGGCATACACTCACAGTTTTCATTTTACAGTTGGAAAAACTGAGGCTCAGATAATTGAAATGACTGGGCCAAGTACCTCTATGAGTCTATGACAGAGAAAAGGCTACAACCTACATCTCTGACACCTCATCCAGTGCTCATTTCACTTTTTCTTACCACTTAACAAGGCTTGAGGATTAAGAGAAGCATGTATTATTCATTGGGAAATGTTAAAATGTGTCATTTAGAAATCACTCAAGAATAAAGGGGCACTTTTCAGGGTTCTCCCAAGGACCCTATAATGTAACAAATTTTGTTTTGCTGGGGTCTAGCACTGCCACTGTTTCCTTGCAAGAGTAGGAGATAATTATTCTACTATGCCCATAGGAAAGAAAAAAAACCTAAAATGAAAATGAATATGCACAATGTTGCAAAATTAACACAGTCCTGGCCATGTACTTGATATTTATGTGCTATATCATATGCCAAGGCAATAGTTTGGCCAAGCTCTAAGACAAGAGAAAGTACTCAGGAAGTCCCGAGTTCTAGGAGATTCCATGTTTGAGTAGAGTCAAGATTATAGGGTAAGCATAAAGGCAAAACAGACTTAGAATAAAGTGTGAAGAAGTTAATATAATAATTTGTGGTATGTGAATCCAGAAGAGGATGTAGTCATTAGTGGCTTAACTATTACTGCTTATTGTATAACATCATGATATCTGGGATTTGAAAATTAAAGTGATTTCTCTTGATATAATCATTGAAAGATAATCCAGAGAGGAGAGTGTGCTTCAGAAGAATAACTTTTACTTGTAGCAATGACTACATTAGCATAAGCTGCTACAAATCAAGATGTAGACACAGATCCTGAGAAATAATGAGAAGTACAGGTTTTTGACCAAAACCAAGTCTGTATAGATGCTAGACATGGATATGGGTCAAGAAATTCACTAAATCTCATTAGCTAGTGAGGAAACAAATGTTTAAACCATTGCTTATGATTATTTGGCAAATCACGATAAGAATGGCTCCTGCTCAGAGCATGAGCCTAGCCTTCCCATTCAGTTTCAACTGTATCTTGGACATCATAATTACTATCTCGTTAGGTCCCTAAAATATATGCAAATGTCAACCATTAACTCAAAAAGCACTTCAATTCCTTTCTTACTTCTTGACAATATATTTTTTTCTTCCAACGGTTTTTGCTCAGTGTCACACTGTTTATGGAAGGGAATGACAGGGTTTCCTCCACATTCTCAGCAACAGAAGAAAGCATTTAACTTTGTTATAATTATAAATAGTTAGCTAGAATTATTTTCAGCTTTACTTGACAGGTCACATACAGGTATTTCTAGAAAGCTAACAAGATATTACCAGATGTTTCTTTTTAAAAAGTTTTTATTTAAATTCCAGTTAGTTAACATACAGCTTAATAACATATAGCTTAATATACAATTTAGTGATTCAACATTACTGTACAACACCCTATGCTCATCACAACAAGTGAACTCCTTAATCCCCGTGTCCTATTTTACCCATCCCCACCACTCACCTCGCCTCTGGTAACCATCATTTTGTTTTCTATAGTTAAGAGTCTGTTCCTTGGTTTGCATCCCTTTCTATTTTTTCCTTATGTTCCTTTGTTTTGTTTCTTAAATTCCATATATGAGTGAGATCAAGTGGTATTTTTCTTTCTTTGACTGACTTATTTCACTTTGCATAATATTCCTTAGTTCCACACACATCATTGCAAATGAAAAGATTTCATTCTTTTTATGGCTAAGTAATATTCCATGGTGTGTGTGTGTGTGTGTGTGTGTGTGTGTATTCATTGGTAGACAAACACTTGGACTGTTTCTATAATTTTGCTATTATAGATAATTCTGCTATAAATATTGGGGTGCATGTATCCCTAAAAATCAGTATTTTGTATCCATTGGGTAAATACCTAGCAGTGCAATTGCTGCATTTTAAGATAAGTTCTATTTTATCCTTTGAGGAACTTCCATACTATTTTCCACAGTGTCTACACCACATTGTACTTCTACCAAGAGGGTCCCCCTTTCTCCACATCCTCCCCAACACCTATTGTTTCTTGTGCATTTGATTTTTACCATTCAGACTAGTGTGAGGTGATATCTCATTGTACTTTTGATTTTCATTTCCCTGATGATCAATGATGTTGAGCATTTTTCATATGACTGTTAGCCATTTCTATGTCTTCTTTGGAAAAAAAATGTCTATTCATGTTTTCTGTCCATTTTTAATTTGATTATCCAATTTTTGGGTGTTTAGTTTTATAAATTCTTTATAGACGTTGGATACTAACCCTTTATCAGATACGCCATTTAAAAATATCTTCTCGCATTCCATAGGTTGCCTTTTAGTTTTGACAATTGTTTCCTTCTCCTTCAGAAGTTTTTTATTTTGATGAAGTCCCAATAGTTTATTCTTTGCTTTTGTTTTCCTTGCCTCAGGAGACATATCTAGGAAAAAACATGTTATGACTAATATCAAAGATGTTACTACCTGCATCCTTCTCTAGGATTTCTGTGGTTTCATGTCTTATATGCAGGTCTTTAATCCTTTCTGAATTTGTTTTTGGGTATGGTGTTAAGAAAACGGTCCAGTTTCATTCTTTTGCTTATTGCTGTCCAATTTTTTCCCAACACCATATGTCGAAAGGACTTTTTCTCATTGGGTATTCTTTTTGGCTTTGCTGAAGCTTAATTAATTGACCATATAGTTGTGGGGTCATTTCTGGGTTTTCCATTCTGTTGATCTATGTGTCTATTTTTGTGACAGTACCATACTGTTTTGATCACTACAGCTTTATAATATAACTCAAAGTTTAGAGTTGTGAAGCTTAATTTAAAACAGAAAACATTTCTGTAGTTTGTAATCATTGTCTTACTTTATTCACTTTTATAACCAGAGTGGCTTTATTTACCCATATTGACTTTGTTTATACATATTAATGTGACATCAATCAGAAATGTCAAGAAAACATTTCCTCCTACAGATTTTGAATTACATGG